TATTTTTTAAATTTAAAACTTGCATTTCCAAAAAACACGTGACACTAAACTACCTGCCAAAACCCATGATTTATACAATGCAGAATTATAAATTATACAAAACTTTAATAATACTTAGTAGTGGAATTGGTGAATGAAAGTGTACTTTGCACAATTACATTGTAAACCGCCCAGAGAGTGCTTTAGCACTATGGGACAGTATATAGGTCAAAACAACAAGTAATTATACTTACGTTTGTAATGCATTATTTTTTGCATTAATAAGGCTCTGTTCTTGTATTTTGTCAAGTATAAGCAAGGCACATTTTTCATGTCCCTGAAAAACATAAATGTTATTAGAATGTTCTTTGTGGAATGAAACAAATCTAACCTTTTTTTTTAAAAAAATCTACTTCTGTTTCTTTTCACTGTTTACCATTTTTGTGCAGAAAGGTTATGCAGCAGAGATGAGAAAATACCTACATTTTAACATATAGGGATTAGCTCGATAAATTTGTACTATACTAAGTATTCACGCTGTTTCACATTTCAAAATACTGTATACTGTTCCTGAATTTTAAATATTGTTGTCACAATAATTTGGTCATTTGCTGAACATGGCATCTGATTATGGTCAAAGTTCTGTTCTGCATCCTCTTATGTTATTGCAGTTGGGTCATCTGTTATCTAATCCTTTCCAGCTATGAATTGATTTACACAAAGAAGCAAAAACATATTACAGTGAGGGGGGAGGGCATGTATGTTGGAGAGGGGAGGGGAGGGAGAGGAACTCTTCCAGAGTTGTTTTCCTCCTGCTTCCCAAAATGAATAAAGAACTGTGGGCAAAACATAGCCTGCCCTTCAGTTCACTACTTCCCAGACATCTTAGCTACAAATAAATAATAAAGGGTTGTGTTTCAGTTCCTAAAACCTTGATCGTCACACTACCCCAAAAAAGAGAAGTTTTTTGAAGTTTTTCTTCAGACAACTCTTTCTGCCCTCCCCTATAATTTACCATATTTTGTTATGGGGATGGGTAAGCTCAGGGGCTTTGAGGATCAAACTGTTGCTCCATTTTTTTTCCAATAAGCTGCAAGTAGCCCCAAAATGGCTGTTTTCAGCCATTTTGGTGGGAAAGGCTTGATTTGGCCCTTATGTAAAAACAGTTGGTCATGAAGGTGTCCAGAAGCAGAAACTGACTGTTCTTTTTTCTAAAAAGCTTTGATTTTTTTTAATGGGGGGATGCTTTGGAAGGCCACAAAAATGCCCTTGTGGACTGCAAGCTATGCTTTGCCCGCACTTGATCTATCACATAACAGTATTAAGATTTAAAAATGATCACCAGTACTCAAAACATTCTGTTTCCATTTAAAATTCTGTTCACAAATCTACATGAGTTTTTTAAAGCCTACATAATCACACAGTTCATTTAATAGCAGTCTTCATTGCATAAAAGGCCATACTTATATGTGATGTGTTTCTCTCTGATATAGGTACCAAATTATTTACTTCATAAGAATGCAAAGAGACAGCGAAGAGCTCTAAAATAATATTTCCAAACTAGGTGAAAGGGCATCCACATGGAAGGTACATGTCAGTTTAAATAAGTTTAAACTGAGGTATACTACGACTAAAATTCCAAGCTTCACATGTATCTTTATTATGGACCAGGAAAGGAATCTTGGTGTGTTCATGAATAGCTTCATGAAAACATTGGCCCAGCACTCAGCAGCTGTGAAAAAAAAATTCATATTCTGCATTTTTAATCTAAAAAAAAATTGATACCACACCATTATAGGCAAGGACTGATGATGGGAGTAGTAGTGTAATGACATCTGGAGGGCCATGGTTGGCTATACATAGATGAGAGCTACCCAAATTTCAGGAAAAATTATAGCAGTGCTGGGGAGTTAGCTTAGGGGAAAAAAGAAGAGGGGAGAATGACAAATGTGTGTAAAATTATCCACAGTATACTGAAAGAAAGTACTAAGGACCATTTGTCTCTTTCTCTTAATACTCAGATATTGTGGTCATGTTGGGTTTTTCATATATGCACGCACACAGAGACACAAATATTTTTAAACATACTTTGCTACTAGCTGAGTGCAAGGATGTATTCAAGTTCTTATCCTTTAAAGTTAGATCAGCCTTGGCGTTGTTCACCAAAAAATCTAAAATACAGAGAAACAAAATATGCCACATGATTATTCCCCAAATACTAGTTATTGAAATCTTTCATCTCATCCTTTTCATACAACAGTTAGAGCTACATCACACATGCCATAAGAATCCCAGTTAAGTGGTGCCTCGCAAGACGAATTTAATTCATTCCACGGTTAATGTCGTTTTGCGAAAAAATTGTCTTGCAAAATGCGTTTTCCTATAGGAATGCATTGAAATTTAATTAATGCCTTCCTATGGGCAAAAAAAGTCAGAACAAAGTCAAATTTGGTTTACAAAGGGTTTATGAAGTGCTCTTTAAAGCCATACATATTGTGCAGATGATTTCAAAAATTTCATCAAAAAACTTTAACTTTTAAACATCATAGAAAAACATTTAAAAATCAGCAAACTTGAAGGAGGAACAAAAAACGGAAAACATAGGAACATTCATCTTGCGGGTCTTCAACCACATCACCAAAACCATTCATCTTGCGAATTTTTTGTCCCCTGAGGCATTTGTCTTGCGAGGCACCACTGCATAACAATTCTGCCATTATTTAAATCATTCAATGACACATAGGTAATATGTCCATTCACACAATGCACGGGTAAAATCAATTCATTTGACTAGCCAATCAATTTTTTTCATCTTGCCTGCAGGGTTATTTTAAAATGTGCCCATCCTTGTATCACTTCAACCCTTATCGTTTTGATGTGTGTGAACATTGCTGTCAATTTATTTACTTTGCGAACAAGTCAGTATTTTGGGTGCCAGAGCCACTGCATGGCCACAGCACCTGTACCCTTTAAGTTTAAAAAATATTTATCAATAAATTGTAGCAGCAGCAGGAGCAGCAGCAGCAACAATCCAAATACATTGCTCAGAAGGAGACAGCTTTCCCTGCCTCTCATGCAGGTTTAAGGAAACAGGAAAGAGGGCTTAAGAAGAAAAAAGGCTGTTTCCTGCTTGGAATTGTTTGAGGGGTGAAAGAAATTTAACAGCTCTCTCTTTTTTTAACCCTAACTCTTCACGATACTTTGCAAGTCTTTTAAAATCCGCTTCCTCCTCCCAATGCTGTTTAAAGGTGAAAAGAAAAATGAAAGCCAAGAACTAAGAGTTATGCAGGAAAATATGGGAAAGGGGATGAGTGAGTAAAGGAGGGAAAAGGGGAGCTGGACAAAAAGAAAAGGGAGGAGAAAAAAGAAAGCGGAAAAAGGAACTGGGAAGTGAAAATTAAAAAGGAAAGGAAAGAAGGGCTGCAGATGACTGAAAGCCATGTGAATGGCCCCAGTGGCATATATACCACATGATTGTACATACAAATATAACAAATTTTTTTAAAAGGAGGAAAAAGAAACAAATCGAATGGAATACAATTTTGGCCAATATAACACAGTTTATGTACATCATTGTACATCATATACAGTAGTACAGTACAGTAGTTGAACAGATTATTAGTTGCACATTCACTAGATTATCCTACAGTTTTTGCAGTTCTAGAATAGTAAAATTTCTAGTAAGAATCCTCCTAAGGATCTACATGTTCTTATGTTAAAACTCCCCATGGAGGATTGCCACAAACTAAAACAAGACACCTGTCACATTACTAGGCTTACCCCTGTTGCACAATTGGGCCATGCATCATAACACAACTGACATCTTGTTAATTAAATGCAGTTCATTCCAGTAAGCTATGTAATTTAACTTATGCAAGTATAAATCACAAACCAAAGTTTTGATTTTATTAACATGCATTTTCTAAACCTAACAAGATGTAGTTCTGAATGTGAGCTTGCTAACAGTCCTATGAAATAAAGGTTTGTAAGTGAATTTAGAAGACTTACAGGCATCAAAAAAGAAAGGAAAAAGTAACTGTATGAAGATTTTCATACTAAATACATATATAAAATCTGTAGATATGTGCAAAAGTATTAACTCTTTATCTGTTCCTAACAACCAAAGACTTACCTACAGCCCCTACGTGCCCCTTTTCAGCAGCCATTATAAGCGGTGTTTTCCCTGAATTATCTGTAGCATTGATTTGTGCATTGTGATTTAAAAGAAGCTGCAGGCATTCTACATGATCAGCAAAGGCTGCTGCATGAAGTGGTGTTCTAAAGATGAAACAAAGCAAATACGAGGATTTACTTATTAGTTAGAATTGTTGATTACTAATATTCTTTATTTCGATTTTACTTCAGTGCCCAAAACTATCAAAGTGCCAAAAAAAAATTAAAATACACACAATACAATTTTAAGTATGTAAAACAGTATCTCATACAAAAGGAAAACAAATACACACACACACACACACAAACAGATGAAGTACCAATATAAGAAGTTTCCTTCAATAATTAACCATACTGTAAAAACTGTTAAGGTAAATGTTAAAAATATGGAATGGGTAGAGAGCATCAAATGTAAGGGAGCACTACTGAGTTACATAATATCCAGTGGGGTTTTTTTGGGGGGGGGGGATTTCAACTCCCAGAATTCTCCAAGAATGCCAGGAACTCTAGTACAGAATCTGAAACTGCCACAGTGGTAGATCTCCTTGCTGCAGAGAAGAGCTTTCTACTCATTTGCACCATCGGGATTTGCCAGCCTTCTTGCTTCATGTGATTGATTTGTAAAGAAAGGAAGTTACCATCATAGTTTCAGAGCCCATTAGGCTCTTTAGAGGGCCCCTCCCAAAAAACTACACCTCCCTGGAAGCAGCACTGCAGTTTCCTTTCTTTACAAATCAGCCACAGGAACCAAGAGGGGTGGCAGAACCCAACAGTACAGGTAAATTACTCGAAAGCCCTTCTATGGAGGATGGACCTCTATGTGTGCTAATTTTGGTTTCCCAGAATTCCGAGATCTGAAGCCCAAAAAAGTCCAAATGGGACATCCTTGCATTTACTAGGGCCCTGCTATAGGCTGCTGCCCACCACCATAGAAGATGGTGGCATTCTGAGTGAATCCCTGACAATCTTAAAAGCTGGGTAGATTTACATGAGAGTAAGTCCCACAGTATTTAATCTGCTGAAACATGAATGTGTCACATGGAATTCTACTGAGTTTTTCAGAGGCAATACCACTGAGAGCACAAAAGAATGTTAGATGGTAATCATTTACAACTAGGGACAACAATCTTCAAGCTTGTATAAATAACTAAAGAATATTGAAGATTTAGATCGGTACAGAAGTAGTAAATATTTATTTTTAATTGTATTCAACTCTTACTACTTGGGGATTACTTAAATCCATATGTTTGAGGGATTAATCTATTATTAATTCCATATCATATTATATCCAATTAATAGCCCTCCTCTCACAGAAAGATTTTAATTCCATGGAGAATTCTGTCAGTGAAACAGTAAGAAGATTTTCAACTATTGCCCCTCTTCTCCATAGGCTCCTGCAGCCCCCAGATCTCTTCTGGAGAACTGAGGAATCCTATAGGATAGCACAGGGCATGGGTAGTACAGGGAAGGCAGGAACAGTTAAAATTGTTCTCACGTCACCAACCACCTTTTGCTCTGATCAAGGAGTTTTCCATGGGCAGAGGGGTACGGTTGGGATGTGATACATCACTTTAGCTTGAAAGCATCCAAAACGAAGCCTTTTTTTTATCCAAGCAATTCTTACCTCCCCTTGTCATCTTTGCAGTTGACAATTCCAGCACCCATAGTCCCAATGAGTAGCGATGCACAATTTTCGTGATCATTGATTCTGTTATAAAAAGATAATGCTTAGAATCAGAATGCAACCACCTTTTTAGTACATTCTTTCTGCTATTCATTTTGTGGGCTCCTCAGTCATGTTCTTTTCATGATATAGTCTTCTGTGCTGTAACAGCTAAGAATTTTGGCACTGTGAATGTACAACTCACTCGCTCTACTGCGTGGAGTGCAATGTACAGATACACGTTGGTTCACCCATATATAGGCATCACATGATGAGTCGTTCTTTTCAGGACTGCACATACATTGGCTGAAATCGTCTTCCTTACCATAGTAGATCAGAACCAGAGTTCAGTGGGGATTTAGTGAGTCAGTTCCTCTGTAACTTCCATTGATTCGGTGGGCCTATGCTAGTTGCAGCTTTCTACATTAAGTAACAAGATTTCTCGCACTATGTCTACATACAGTAAAGTATGGTGGGAAACATAGTTGTGCCTAGTGATGCTTACAAAGTACACTTGATAGGCACTTCTTATACATTGCAATGAATGTGAGGAAGTGAGGTAAGGGAGAGCCTTGCAGTACAATTCAGTTTTCTCTGTGGTTATTTATTCACTTTATGCTAGAGAGCCCAATCTTGGCTTGTCTCATTCTCATGCACAAGAATGGAAATTGCTGATGTGCGAGGAAGAAAGGGACACAGACACCCCTGTCGGCATGCCATCTCACTCTGATCGGGGACTCAAGAACCTTACGGTGATGGCTACAGGAGTCCACCCAATTCAGGGCTCGTTGAGGGGTTACAAGGCAGCATGCCTTCTAGGTATAGGCTGAGCCAAGAAATGGGGACACAAACTGGGGCTGCGATAGTCCTGTCAGTTATAGGAGTTGGGGGACAATCCCTAGACCTCTAGTGGGAATTGGTGTACCCCTGGAGGATGAGAAATATGAAAAAGGATTTTGCCACAAGGGGGAGAAAAAGAACAGAAAGAGGAGAAGGAAGAGGTGGTGGTTGATAGGCAGACTCTGGGGGAAGAACAGTTCCTTGTCTGGGAGAAAAATGATCCCCACTCCCATTTAAAAAGGAGGGACTGAAATCCCAGAGTTGGGCAGAATGATAGAAGTCTCAGCATCCGGAAGGGTTACAGGTGTTTTTGACCAACAACAGATGGTGGACAGATCCCTTCAGACTAAAAGAGAGTCATCAGAGGGTGTGGCCTGTCTACCCAGTTGAGGGATTGAAGTCCAACCTAGAGGGACCCCAGGAACTAGAGGAGTTGAGAGGGGACAAGGAACCTCCAAGAGAAGAGGGGTGGGGAAATGCTATAGAAGATCTGGACTACACACTGTTTACGTTTTCATTGTGGAATGCTGCAGTTGCACAGCTATTTCTTTGACTACGTATCCGACACAATTTATTAACACATATCTCAATGAAAGGAGTGAAGATATTGCCAGAAATATTTATTGAAGACAGTCTTGCCACTATCTGTGCTGAGCATAGATAAACCCAATTGACTTCAACAAGGTTTTATCCAGACTAAGCAAAGGGCTTCTCTCATGGTATTTACTTATGTTCCTGCTCCATTTCCGAATTGGTATTTTGACTTCACAGGTGAAAGTGTCTGGGACTCCACAGTTATTCACCATAGAGGCAACAAAGAGCAGTGGACCATGTAATGTTATTTTTACCTGTACTCCAGGAAAAAAATAGTATTACTTGTTTTGAAGATGGTTTTTATTGTTTCTGTTGAAACAATAAAAGTACTATTTGAAATCAGGAAACAGGGTACATGAGAGAAAAGCTGGCAGTCAAACAGACATAAATTATGGTAGTGAGTTCCCATTTACATAAAAACACTGTAGTCATTTCTAGAATAATACATTTGTTGAAGTGACAGAATTAAGTGTTTATATAATTTAAGAACTGGAAAAATCAGGCAGGGTTGCAACAATTCATAATCCTTCTTTCTTTTGTCTTTATGTGACTAAACTCCTGTTTCTGAATTTGGCCTAATATTTTACATGTTGTCATTCAGTGAAGCAATGATGTGAAAAATGTTCACTCCTACAAGAATAATTTGCTAATCAAGCATTTTAACATTGAATGCTTCTGTATACTCTTAGATTTGAAGTGACCTCAGAACCTCATTGTTTCTAGAGTTTTACTGCTTCTGCTCCACCAGCTTAGCTTGTGACACAGCAGTAGTTCCCAATCTTGGGTCCCCTTACGTTCTTGGACTTCAACTCCCAGAAATTCTGGCCAGCACAGCTAGTGGTGAAGGCTTCTGGGCGTTTGTCCAAGGACATTTAGGGACCCAAGGTTGGGAACCACTGATATACATCGTAAGACCAAAGAAGTGAGGATAGAGGCTGTCACTTCTACTTACACAGCACAGTGCAGTGGAGAGAAAGGGTTCCCGCTAAACTTTCGGAAAGGTTTCTGTTCCAGCAGTACATCTATGCAGTTTTCATTCCCTGTAAGTGATTAGAGTAGTTCATGTTACAAAAGCAAGGACGTGCTTGGGGTTGTTTATAACTGAAATAGCTTCTATAATGCAGATTAGCCCTTGAAAATATTCAATTACTTCTTGGAGAGAGAAAAAGCAGGTATCCATCTAACATTGTGCCACTTAACTCTCAATTACTGAAAAGTATCATGTGGAAGAAACCTTTCTTATCCCATTGATCCTTTAACTGAAACTGTCAGGAATGGAACCAAAAATGTATGCATATAAGGCAGGTGCTGTAGTATTCAGTGCCTCCCACTCATGTTGGCTGAAATCCTGTTGCATAGTTACACAAATGACAGAATTTCTAGAAAGCAAACCTCTAAAAGTAAGTAGGAGTTGGGGGACAATCCCTAGACCTCTAGTGGGAACTGGTGTACCCCTGGAGGATGAGAAAGATAAAAAAGGGTTTTGCCACATGGGGGAGAAAAAGAACAGAAAGAGGAGAAGGAAGAGGTGGTGGTTGATAGGCAGACTCTGGGGGAAGAACAGTTCCTTGTCTGGGAGAAAAATGATCCCCACTCCCATTTAAAAAGGAGGGACTGAAATCCCAGAGTTGGGCAGAATGATAGAAGTCTCAGCATCCGGAAGGGTTACAGGTGTTTTTGACCAACAACAGATGGTGGACAGATCCCTTCAGACTAAAAGAGAGTCATCAGAGGGTGTGGCCTGTCTACCCAGTTGAGGGATTGAAGTCCAACCTAGAGGGACCCCAGGAACTAGAGGAGTTGAGAGGGGACAAGGAACCTCCAAGAGAAGAGGGGTGGGGAAATGCTATAGAAGATCTGGACTACACACTGTTTACGTTTTCATTGTGGAATGCTGCAGCAGCAGAGCTATTTCTTTGACTACGTATCCGACACAATTTATTAACACATATCTCAATGAAAGGAGTGAAGATATTGCCAGAAATATTTATTGAAGACAGTCTTGCCACTATCTGTGCTGAGCATAGATAAACCCAATTGACTTCAACAAGGTTTTATCCAGACTAAGCAAAGGACTTCTCCCATGGTATTTACTGTACATGTTCCTGCTCCATTTCCGAATTGGTATTTTGACTTCACAGTGAAAGTGTCTGAGACTCCACAGTTATTCACCATAGAGGCAACAAAGAGCAGTGGACCATGTAATGTTATTTTTACCTGTACTCCAGGAAAAAAATAGTATTACTTGTTTTGAAGATGGTTTTTATTGTTTCTGTTGAAACAATAAAAGTACTATTTGAAATCAGGAAACAGGGTACATGAGAGAAAAGCTGGCAGTCAAACAGACATAAATTATGGTAGTGAGTTCCCATTTACATAAAAACACTGTAGTCATTTCTAGAATAATACATTTGTTGAAGTGACAGAATTAAGTGTTTATATAATTTAAGAACTGGAAAAATCAGGCAGGGTTGCAACAATTCATAATCCTTCTTTCTTTTGTCTTTATGTGACTAAACTCCTGTTTCTGAATTTGGCCTAATATTTTACATGTTGTCATTCAGTGAAGCAATGATGTGAAAAATGTTCACTCCTACAAGAATAATTTGCTAATCAAGCATTTTAACATTGAATGCTTCTGTATACTCTTAGATTTGAAGTGACCTCAGAACCTCATTGTTTCTAGAGTTTTACTGCTTCTGCTCCACCAGCTTAGCTTGTGACACAGCAGTAGTTCCCAATCTTGGGTCCCCTTACGATCTTGGACTTCAACTCCCAGAAATTCTGGCCAGCACAGCTAGTGGTGAAGGCTTCTGGGCGTTTGTCCAAGGACATTTAGGGACCCAAGGTTGGGAACCACTGATATACATCGTAAGACCAAAGAAGTGAGGATAGAGGCTGTCACTTCTACTTACACAGCACAGTGCAGTGGAGAGAAAGGGTTCCCGCTAAACTTTCGGAAAGGTTTCTGTTCCAGCAGTACATCTATGCAGTTTTCATTCCCTGTAAGTGATTAGAGTAGTTCATGTTACAAAAGCAAGGACGTGCTTGGGGTTGTTTATAACTGAAATAGCTTCTATAATGCAGATTAGCCCTTGAAAATATTCAATTACTTCTTGGAGAGAGAAAAAGCAGGTATCCATCTAACATTGTGCCACTTAACTCTCAATTACTGAAAAGTATCATGTGGAAGAAACCTTTCTTATCCCATTGATCCTTTAACTGAAACTGTCAGGAATGGAACCAAAAATGTATGCATATAAGGCAGGTGCTGTAGTATTCAGTGCCTCCCACTCATGTTGGCTGAAATCCTGTTGCATAGTTACACAAATGACAGAATTTCTAGAAAGCAAACCTCTAAAAGTAAGTTAAGAAATCTCTATAGATTGTCTGTTGCATACAGAGTCACACAACTCATCATGCAACAAATAATGCCTATGGACATTTCTTAACTACAGTAACAACAATTCATGCTGTTTATGCCATTTGTGTAACTGCACAGCAGGATTTCAGCCATTATGTATTATATTTGTAGACTGCCTATCAGCCAGAAACAATTTCCAAGGCAGTTTACAATAAAAAAATAATTTAAAACTGAAAATATAAACTATTTTTCCCTTTCTACTTTTAAAATACTGTGATTTAGTATTATAGAAGTATAATCACATTTTGATTGTTATAATTCTATTCCTGGGGCTCATTCACACTTACTCTTCTACATCTTGCCTTAATTCTTGACTGAAAGCTTGGAACACCTTTTAAGTATTTTTTTCCTAGCCCACATCTTACTTTGCACCATAATATATAACCATCTAGACACTGAGGTTAAATGCGAATGACACAAAAGATTACCGTTATAAGAGGCCCAGTGCAAAGGTGTGTAATTTTGATTATCTTTAAAATTGTAGTCCTCTTCTGAAAGCGCCAGCTGTATTAATTCACTCAGCCACGTGGCATGACCACGAGCTGCTGCGTAATGCAGAGGTGTCCTCCCTCTGGTGTCCTTGCAGAGAATCATCACTTCTTGTTCCAACAGCATTTGAACACACTCCTCATGCCCCGTCATAATCTGATTTAAAAAACAAGCACATTAGTAGAATGATAAAAGGATGATTCACTGCAATAAAACAATGCTAATCAAAGAGATATGAATTTTTTTTTGGAAGAAAGTGCTCTGTAGTGGGCATTCAGCAAGAAACCATCAGTATTTTTTGTGTCTTAGCATTTCCAGAATTATGGATATTGGCTTTTAGGAATACTGCCTGTTGTCTCCAAGATCTCAATGCAAGGATGACATTTCTGAAAATGTGATATGCTTGGGTTCTTTACAGATTTGTTTACAGGAATACACTCATACATAATTACACTATCTGGCTCAGTTTCACATAACTGAGCTGAATGAAATGAATTGTTGGCAGCAGCCACCACATATCAAATTACTGCGGATGGTAGTAGTTTCCAACAGGTTCCTCCAAAGGAGGAATGATACAGACAAGAGTTTGGAGATTGATCACATAGATAAACATTTTGGTTAAAGCATTGTGCCATGGTGGAGTATTTCAAAGAAGAGGGGGTCATTTCAAAGGGACTACACGTGCTCATTCTTTCACATGCTAAACACACATGGAGTTTTTTAAAAAATGGTTCCAAACCTGCTCTAGAGGGGGTAATGTTATCTGCCATGGACTCACTAGCTCATGGGCATCCGTATGTTTCAAATCAAAATATCTAGGACTGTTGTATTTGGCATGCCTCCACCGTTACAGGGACGAATTCCACATCTTCATTGGCTCCAAAGCCAGAGAATGGTTAGTTTGGGCCCTTGTACATTTAGGGGACACCATGTGACTTAGGACTGCAACACTAAAACAGAATATTCCACTCCTCGCTCCTCCAAAGTGTGTTGCTACATTACTGTGCCAAAAAGAGCTTTGGTCATGTTTTCTTCTTTCCTCCAGTTTTAAAATACAAAGCTTTTAAATGGAAACAATTGTAACAAACACCATCACTTAAAAAAAAAACACAACGAAATCAAACGCTTTGTAAGGTACTTCCACTAATAAATGCCCTCCCTCATTTTATGATGCAAAGAGGCAGGTGCTGGTTGGCCACTGTGTTAACAAGAAGCTTGCCTAAATAAGCCTTTAATCTGATCCAGGCTGACTCTTTTTATGTTCCCAATTCCAGTTATTCCCTTTTCAGCAACTACAGTACTGGCAAAACAATGGAATGCAAGAGGAGCTTTGATGTCCTGGATCAAGAGGCATCCAGTAGAGCAGTAAAAACAATGAACAGTAACAGGTTTGTTGGTGCACACTAAACATGTCAAGCAATTAGCACTCAGAGAAAACTTGATTTTATGCTTTGGTTTTGTAGATTCAAAAATGGCTTTGGTATTCAGTATTACTAGGCACAATCAGAACAGACATAGAAAAGGCACAGGCAATAAAAATCAGGCAAAATCACTAATTACCCCTCGATGTAAAGCTGTACATCCCAGGACATCGGCCACATCCACAGATGCTTCTTTTTCAAGTAACAAGGAAACAGCATCAATGTGCCCATAAGCCACAGCTAGCATCAGTGGAGTTCTGGCAAAAGGGGAGACAGTCACAACGTTACATTCCAATTTTGTAAAACTCTGCCCTTTCCTACACCTTTCTTGCATTATGTACTTATCATATATATTTCCAAGCTACTATCTCCCCACCACTGCCTTTTCCCAACCATTTCCAGTTGTAGCCAACTCTGGAAAGATCAGATTCTCTTCACTGTGGTTCTTAAAGTGATTTTTGTTGTTGTTCAAACTCAGATGGCTATAAGCATGCAATGGGTATGTTTCAATTCTGAATGACTGAAAAAGAGGGCGCAATAAAATTTCTAACCTGAAGCTATTTCTAAACTGTTAATGGCCGCATAAGGAACAGAAGCAGCCGTTCTGGAAATTCTAACTGCATTACTATGATTCTCACTCCTGGATACCATTTAACAGAGTAATAGCTATCCTGTCCACTTTGCCTCACACTTCCTTCAAAACACCTACAATTCTGCTGACACCTGTCAGTTCATTCATGGCATGTGCAGGAGATCCTCACATGCACCTGAGAGTGTACAAGCTACTGCTGCACAAGAGTGTCTCTCAGTCAGGCCGACACATCTAAATGCTAGTGCCTAAAATGTTTACAAAGTCAACTCACTTCAATCAAATTAAACTTACTGTCCTTTGGCATCTGTCACATCAGGATTATCTGCTACTTCTAATAAAAGCCGTAAACAAGGCGTGTGTCCATTGATGACTACAAAAGAGAAAACATGTTTCAGCATTCTGCAAAATTAATTCTAGCTATGCATAGGTACCTAATAAATCTAAATATTCTCTCCTAAGCATGTCTATGACTAGCTTCCTGTAAATAAAAATGAGATGTTCTTTAAGTACATAGATTTTTATATAGCCAGAAGCTTCAGAATAACAGGAACCAAATAAATGAAAATCGACTGCTATGAGAAAAAGAGAGACATGGTGAAATCTACTGGCCTACATGCACTCAAGTGACACTAAATCCCAAATACATTTGGAGCTATCAGATCACCAGCACTAGGACAGTTCGCACATAATTCTACATTGCTTGAAGACTCACAGAGGGATTTGTGACCTGAGTTTGAATTGGGAGGTACAAAGTGGCTGAGATAAAAGAAACAGATTGAAAAACAATAGCAGTGAGTTTTTTAGTACCTTAAAGTCTCACAACTAAGCATTTGTGAACTGCTGGCCAAAAATACAAAATAAGTATTTGGGTCTCTTTCCAAGTGTTGCTACATAAAAGCAACCATTATGGCATCCAGTAGAGAAAGAGGACAGCAGCACGGAAATCATGAGCAACCCTGTATGCATATTCCAACTAATATGCCAGAATCTGGCCAGGATAATTTCTTACTAAGAGCTAGAATACACATTTCATTGAGCCAATAGAGGTATTTGTCAGGTAATGCGGATATGGTGCAAACTGTCAGTACAAACAACTGTACTTGCTCTGTCTGGAACTGTACAGATAAAAACATGCAGAAACAGCAGCATCTGTTCAGTGTTAAACAAGCACAGGAAAAATTCAGATGTCTACAATCAAGTACCGTATTGGTGAGTTTGTGTGAATGCAAAACTGATGACTTCAGCAAAGCCTAGGAGCCAGTTCCTTAAGCACTGGTAAATTGGAAAATGGAAATAATTTAAAGGGCCAAGATTTGCTTCAGATATCAGATTGAAATTTCCAGCACTGGGAATGAAGGGGCTGACTGTGTAGTAGTACACTACAGTTTGTTTTCTTTTACTGAAGTATTTCTTAACCTTAAACGGGACGTGTGGAAGAAATGAAGGAGAGATATTTTTGCCTTCAAATTTCTTAATACCCATTCATTAACAGTGTATCTAAGAGGAATAATAACTTTCCACAAAGTCTGCAATTAATTTTGTTCCCCAACTTGGCAATATCATCTCGAAAACTGTGGCCACCATCCAAGAAAGTGACACGAGCGCATGGATCAAATCTCGGCACACCGCTGGAGCCTGCGGGGCGGCCAGTAGCCGTTTTGCACTGCCAAAGACAGCCAGAGGCTCTTCCGCCTCAAAACCTGATCAGCCTGTTTAACAGCAAGAGCGCTGCACTTGTTTTTCTCTTCTCAGTATGCACATTCCTTGCAGGACAAGCATTTTTATTTTAAAATATTTAAAATATTTTTTTTACTTTTTATTTTACCTTTCTCTTCAAAAGGACCCAAGGCAGTTTACATCATTAAAAATACAAGGACCCAAGGCAGTTTACATCATTAAAAATACAGTATTAAATGCTAAACACAGTAAATTATTCAAATATTTTAAAGGAATTAATAACGTTCTACAAAAATGTTAGGTAAAAGTGTATTGCTTGTAAGTTAAAGTAACAGCATCTCCTTTACCTGAGGCATGAAGTGGAGTCCGCTGGGTGATGTTATCTTTTACTGTGACAGAGGCACCCTGGCTGATGAGGGCTTCTACACATTCAGTATGTCCTTTGAATGCAGCCAGATCCAGAGCTGTACGTCCTTTCTCATCCTTAATATCCAGATCTACCAGGGACTGAAGAAGCACCTCCAAAGCCTGGTGATGCCCATTATAGGCCTGTAGAGTAACATTGTGTGTTTAGGAATCGAGCCCTTCGACACCTGCTTAAATTGTACACATTTTCCTCTATAGAATTTGACACGCTGGAAAGAGTTCAATACACCAGTCACAAACCTCGTGACATTGTTTTAAAAGTGAAAGCCTCCAGGGGCATTGCAGTTAATGTTTATCAGAGTACCTCGTATCTGAGTAAAAGGTTGTTTCTTTAACCTAACATTGTTATAAAATATAATGATATGGTAAAATCACCTTGTAGTGATTTTGCTTCCTTAAAAAAAAATTAAGTGGCAAATAAGGTATTTTTGAAAATAAGGGCTTAACTAGAAGAAGACAGCAGATTCCCAGTTAAAAGGGAATAAAATGTTACCTCCTCAGAGTTCTTAGCGTAGTGAAATTCACGTCCTGACATTAACTTTTAAGACAAAATAACTAAAATATTAGATAGAGTGAGAGGGATGCACTTCACAGAGACTTGTGGCCGGTACACTTTGAGGCAAAAATCACATGGGCCACCACATATCCTTTCAGTTATTTTTCCTGCTGACTAAATTATTCAATAGTGAATGCAGAGAAATCTGTCTTATTCTCCACCTCCCCTGCTTTTTTGATTACCTTGGGAAGCTTGTATTATTTTGAGGGAGGCAGAAAGTGTATTTCTATGCACTTTCTATGCAGAATTTATTTCCATGTTAGAGCCTGTCTGTTCGTCAATTATCTATCTATTAGCTGAAAAGAGCTACAGTGAGGCTAAATGTATAAGGATCCCGCCCCCCGGGTTTAAGGACCTGGATTTTGCCATGCAGTACAGCTGCCAATATTAATAAACCTCAGTCTTCCTTCAGGAGAACCCATTCCTATGCATATTCATCCACTGGGGTCCTTTTCCTTTTCTGAACAAGCCCTGGGTCTTAAACCTAGAGAGACCTGGGTTCAGAATTGCACTCAGACCATGAAACTCTCTCGGAAGACTTGGGCAAGTCACTAAGCTGCCTTACAAAGAAACAAACTACTTAAAATTTACAAAAGGCAACTGAAGGATGGGTTGTACGAGATAGACAATACTAAAACAATTTGTGTACTTACAGCTAAGTGCAAAGGGCTTTTTGTAGCTGTTGAATCTGATTCCTCAAAAACATTGCTAGTTTTCTCCAACAGCTGCAACAAATAAAAGAAGTGACATGGTAGCAGTAGGACATGTGAATTAGCGACAGAATATGCATTTTTAACACTAATACTATCAGAAGGGATAATTTAAAAGCCAACATTGTCTGTAGAAAGAGCAGCACAAGGTGCTCCTCTGTTCCATAAGACAACAGCCTTAAAAGCCCATCTTACACATACTTGCTGAATTAATGAAATATGTTGAGTACTGTATAAACATGACAAACAAGCATTAGTTGTACTTAGTGGCATGGCATCCTCCCTACACTCACAGATATTACACATTTCCCCTTACTGGAGATGTTGCTGGGCAATTCCCATCAGTTGTAGCCAGCACAGGAACAATAAGGGACAATGGGATTTCCAGTCCAATAACATGTGAAGGGCCACGCATTTCCAATTCTTGCATTAAATTTTGGCACTGCTTGGCTTGATTACAGAACGTCATTGTAACAGGCAGCCCTGACCTCAGAGCGACAGAATATGCACTTTTAACACTAATACTATCAGAAGGGATAATTTAAAAGCCAACATTGTCTGTAGAAAGAGCAGCACAAGGTGCTCCTCCGTTCCATAAGACAACAGCCTTAAAAGCCCATTTTACGCATACTTGCTGAATTAATGAAATATGTTGAGTATAAACATGACTAACAAGCATCAGCTGTATTTAGTGGCATGGCATCCTCCCTACACTGACAGATATTACACATTTCCCCTTATTGGAGATGTTGCTAGGCAATTCCCATCAGTTGTAGCCAGCACAGGAACAATAAGGGACAATGGGATTTCCAGTCCAATAACATGTGAAGGGCCACGCATTTCCAATTCTTGCATTAAATTTTGGCACTGCTTGGCTTGGTTACAGAACGTCATCACTTCTGTCCAGTTACATGAGCTATGACAGCATCACCATCTTAGAGGAAAGCTCTAAATCTCAATAAACCTGTTTTGTTTTGAAGGAAACCTTTGTCCTTAAATAGTCATTACAATTGGTGGCAGCGAGTGTGAAGTAGTGTGGTGGGCATTCTGTGAGGCCTGAGTTGGCAGTGACATCAGAGTAGCCAGCTACGCCACACTCATCACTTCTGTTCAGTTACATAAGTTATGACAGCATCACCGTCTTAGAGGACAAATAAGCTCTAAAATAAAGTACCCAGAATCTTATTGCTTCCATACACTGGAGAATGTGCTGCAGTATATACTGCAGCAGCAAATTGCTGCTATTTAAGGAGTCAATGCTTTTATTCTTCACTGTGGGACTAGCACGTGATGACAAATGCAAGCAGCACCTTGTTAATTAGTAGCAATTTGCCTCTGATTTATGCTATTGCAATTTTATGTAAGCAACACAATTCTGGTTAATGGCTGCTAACCGTGGTTCATTTCAGCATACTGGAAAAGTTTCTCTTTTCATCACACCTATTACACAACTAACTGGTCCCCCCCCCCATGCACTGCTCATCTTTGCACATTTGAGGAGCCTCATAACTGTCTCACTCACCAGTCTTGAAGTGTAGACCTCCTTCTTAAAGTGTTGACAAAGAAGACTCATTTTGCCTTTTCCCACCACCCATCTCTCTCTCTCTCTCTCTCTCTCTCTCTGTCTGTGTGTGTGTGTGTGTGTGTGTGTGTGTGTGTGTGTGTGTGTGTGT